CTGAAAATTAAATATGTTATCTTAACTGCTCTCTCAATTACAAGAATTAGTCTGAACTAAGGAAAACCTCTGAAAATTAAATATGTTATTTTAACTATTCTCTCAATTCCAAGAATTAGTCCGAACTAAGGAAAACCTCTGAAAATTAAATATGTTATTTTAACTATTCTCTCAATTCCAAGAATTAGTCCGAACTAAGGAAAACCTCTGAAAATTAAATATGTTATCTTAACTGCTCTCTCAATTACAAGAATTAGTCTGAACTAAGGAAAACCTCTGAAAATTAAATATGTTATCTTAACTGCTCTCTCAATTACAAGAATTAGTCTGAACTAAGGAAAACCTCTGAAAAATAAATATGTTATCTTAACTGCTCTCTCAATTACGGGCAACTATTACTCCTCTTGACAAAATATCGGTCTTCGGAGACTGCACAGGACTCGCGTTACTGTTCTAGCAAAATCTGTCCACATGAAAGTTGGAATAATATGTAATGTTACGTTCTTGTGAAATGAAACCGCTCTGGTATTTAACGGCAACGCTAGTTCAGGATTTTGTAGGAAATCTTGATTGTGAATCTCCAGAGGTATTTGGAGAGTCAACGTTTCCATTTCTTTACGGATATTGATGTTAAGACATAATGTGGTGGCTTGCAGCTTTGGTTTGGTATTTTTTTTACGATACATGGGTATCGAAACCCGGTTTTTATCATTATAAGCCTTTAGTCCACTCGCTGAGCCACTATTTATTTGGGGGGGGGGGGCAGATCTGTGTACGTACTTCATATTTATGGTCAGCAAGTTGAAATTATATGAAGTGAATTTCAACCCAACTATAAATCTCCATGTAAATCTCAACTTTGGGCAAATTGGCTCTCCTACCAAGTTTCTAGCGCTATGTTTAAGAATACTGTGTTTTTTTTTCCTTTTAAATAAGAAATTAACATTTGAAAGACTTAAACATTATCAACTGACAACTTCGATTCAAAACGAAAGTTAGAATAAATGAACTACCGTTTGTATAAAAATCCAAAAATAATGGAATTGTTTAGACAAAAGTACCGGGTTTAAAACTAAGTGATGGGAAGTGACGTCAGTCATTAATCCAAAACTTCCGTGGCATTTTCCTACCACTCAGGTTTGGCTGTTTCACTCAAAATAAACAAACAGATAAGATCGTAAAAGTTAAGAGGATGTTAAAGGCGTTAGTGATATAATACCGATCATGATCACAGAGGGAATAGTGCGAAACACCTATAAGGGAGGAAGATATATTTCCTTCACATCCTCTTACATTGACACTATGTTTCAAATATGGTACCCAAACTTAAAATCGTGACATTGTACTTGAAAGACACTACAGACCTCACAACTGGTCATGTCGCCATATCAAAAATAAGGCTTCCAAAGCAATAAATGAAAATGAAAACTAAATGCTTAAATTTTCTATTTCAAACACATCATTTTAGGCTTAGCATCTTTGAAATGTATTGGCAAGTTCCATTTTTGATAATCATTTCATTTGTGTACGATAATTAGAGTAATACAAGTTAATAATTGAACGATAGTGTAGAGGTCGCTTCAGTACTCTACATCACAAAATTCAAAAGACATACGATATTAAAATATCATTTATAAACTATCTTAGCGAGCCATATGTAAATGAACTATAAAATGAAACAGAAATACGAACTATCTTTAAACAATTAAGAATATTCAATACATAATGAAACAAACATTTGATCTCCACCAAACTAATTATTACTACGACACACCATAAAGACATTTAATGAAATATACTTAATGTAAGAGATTGCTAGTAATATCAGAACTACAAATCACTACACATATATTTGTATGCCCTATTTTACTTGATTTTTATTTTGCACTCGTTTTAGACTGTTTACGTAATGACTTCACTACTTGCCATACAGGAAATAAGACACGAATAAAGGGGATATGAACCAATCCGATCATTCTGAAACTGAGTCATATTGAAGAACTGTGCTGGCAGCTCGAAACGTTATTCCAAAACTTCCTCGCCACATGCAATCCATTAATATCGACTA